TTTGCCACTTCTTTCAATGTACTTTGGACTTCCTCTCTGAGTATCATTGGCTCTTGTTCATATGGTATCTCTTGAAATGGTTGAACATTAACCATTTCAGTGACTAAGTATTCATAAAGTAGTCCATCTTTCCTTCTTCCTAGTCTGTCTTTGTCTGGAAGCTAAGCTGAAACCTGTCCACCATGGGACCCTGCTGGCATTTAAAATACCTGTGGCATAGCTTCCAGAATCACAGCAAAACGCAAGCCACCACAGTGTGACAAACTGACAGACGAGTGGTGGTAAACCATAAAGTAAAAAGACGAAATATTGTAGTTAAAGAACTCCCAAATGAAACAGATTTCAAGATAAATAAATAAATACATCTAACTGTAACCCTGAAAACTAGACCAAGTCTTACTCTAGTCCAATCCTTTTCCTTAATACTAATTCTAGCCCTAACCATAATCCTAACATGGGAGTCCTGGTATGATACTCTAGGATACGTGCAGGACCACAGGGTTGGTTTGAAACACAGATCGGCGGTTCAAACTCACCAGCTGTTCTTCGGGCACTCTGTACTGGATTGCTAGGAGTCAGAACCGACTCGATCACACTTAACCACAACAGCAACAACAGGCCTGACCAGGGACTCCTTGGAAACTCTATACATGGTCACTCTAAGACGGACTGACTCAATGACAGTCACAACAACAGCAGGCCCAACACAGACCTAGCCATAATCCCAACCCTAAACCTAACTCCTTACTCTTATCTACTCCCCCCTCTAAAAAAAGAAGCAATTACTACAGGTTTACCTAAGGAGTTCTGGTAGTGCAGTGGTTTCCAATTGGGCTGCTAACGCCAAAGTCAGCAGTTTGAAACTACCAGCTGTTCCACAGGAGAAAGAGGAGGCTTTCTGCTCCTGTACAGATTTACAGCTTCAGAAGCCCTGTACAGGGTCGCTATGAGTCGGAACCAACTCCATGGCACACCACCACCACCACAGTTTTACCTACAACAAAAGTGACTTGATGGCAACAGGACAATACGGCCGAGTGGTAGACAGCAGCCTGTTCTCCGCCTATATTATATTCACCACCATTCACAACAGTACTTTTAAATAGCTTATTTACCCACCCACAGCAGTCTAGAAATCAAACGACTTACTGCATTAGGCAAAACTGCTGCACAAGACCTTTTTAAAGTATTGAAGAGCAAAGATGTCTGCCTAAGGACTAAGGTGCACCTGACCCAGGCCATGGTATTTTAAATAACCTCATATGCATGCGAAAGCTGGACAGTGAAAAGAATTGATGCTTCTG